TCTGTCTCAAAAAAACAAAAACAAACAAATAAACAAAAAAACAACAAAAAAAATGTATATACCAGTGAAACCATTACCACAAGCAAGATAATGAACATGTTCTTCACCTCCATGAGTTTCCCTGTACTCCTTTATAATCTACCCCTCACTTCCCTACTGCCATGTTCCCAGGCAGCCACTGTTTTGCTTCCAGGCAATATAGATTAGTTTTCATTTTCAGAATTTTATGTTATTTGAGATGAGATCTCACTACGTTGCTCAGCCTGGAGTGCAGCAGCCTGATCACAACTCACTGCAGCCTCAAACTCCTGGGAACAAGGGATCCTCCCACCTCAGTCTCCCAGGTATTTGGGACTACAGGTGTGTGCCACCACGCCTGACTAATTTTTTTTTTTTGGTAGAAATGAGATCTCACTATGTTGTCCAGGCTGGTCTTGAGCTGGCCTCAAGCGAGTTCAAGCCTCCTCCTGTTACTGCCTCCCATAGTGCTGGGGGATGTCTTATGCCTGTCCTGTGGCTTGTCTTTTAGTTTTCTACTAAACAGTGTCTTTTGAGGAACAAAGGATTTCAATGTTGATGAAGTCAAACTTATTTCTTCTTTTTTATGCTTTTTGTGGCAAATATTGAAATATTGAAAAAAATTTTCAATATTTTTTTCTAGTTGCATTATTTTACCTCTTACACTTAAATATTACTCGTTATTTTTTGTATATGGTATGAGGTAAGGGTCAAGGTTTTTTACATTTATATAAATGTAAAAACATATTTTGGTTGGGCACGGTGGCTCATGCCTATAATCTCAGCACTTTGGGAGGCCAAGGCAGGTGGGTCTCCTGAGGTCAGGAGTTCAAGACCAGCCTGACCAACATGGAGAAACCCTGTCTCTATCTTTTTTTTTTTTTTGAGACGGAGTTTCGCTCTCGTTACCCAGGCCGGAGTGCAATGGCGCGATCTCGGCTCACCGCAACCTCCGCCTCCTGGGTTCAGGCAATTCTCCTGCCTCAGCCTCCTGAGAAGCTGGGATTACAGGCACGCGCCACCATGCCCAGCTAATTTTTTGTATTTTTGGTAGAGACGGGGTCTCACCATGTTGACCAGGATGGTCTCAATCTCTTGACCTCGTGATCCACCAGCCTCGGCCTCCCAAAGTGCTGGGATTACAGG